ACTAGATGTGGAGTATCTGTACTATTCTCCACTTTCTACAAATCTAAAACAATCCTAAATAAGAAGTTTATTTTTAAAAAGATAACGGCTAACTGTCCCATAAAAAGACTGTATAGGCAAAGTGCCCCAAAGGGCAGAGACCGAAGAATGAGACTGAAAAGTCCAGTTTATGGGTTAATAGGTTTAATAGAGAATTTACAGGAAACACTTGTCTTGACTGGCTGCAAAACAGTCAAATCTCCATCTTTCCCCTCCAAGACCACCATCTTTCATCCCCACTCAGAGACAGACCTACATGCTCCAAAAGGACTGCATGGGTGGCCAGGGGGGACAAAGAAGACAGATACCAGCAGACCCTGGTGCTGGAGTAAACTAAGAGAGGTAACTTCTGGAGCTTCTTGCTGCAGAGGAAGAAGTAATGAAAGCTCTGTGACTAGATGGAAACCTCTGGACACATTCCAGAGTCCACCCAGGAGAAGGGGAAGAGAGGTCAAAGGTCTGGAATCATCCACTCAGAAACTAAGCAGGTGGATTCACTTCAAGATGGAGTCAGCTCTGTCCACACACTAAGAATTTCCCCAAGCTTATACAAACAAGATTCAATGGCCCACAGATTCCATGGGCTCTGAGAACCCCATGCTAATGAATAAGAAGAAAATCATAATCTTAATCAATAAAAAAATATATATTAAAAAAAGAAAATCATATACACCAGAGTAAAAAAAAAAAAAAAAAAAAGTGAGGAAAACATTCTAATGTGGCTAGAAAGAAAAAAGACATCACCTCCAAAGGAACAATAAGACTTATAGCTGACTTCTCAACAGAAACAATGGAAACTGGAAGACAGCGTAATTATATCTTTAAAGTGCTGCAAATGGAAGGGCATGTACATTTCCTTCTATCTCTTTTCCTTAAGGAATGTAAAGTAGTACTGAGCCATCTTCAACCATGTAAAGGAGAATACAGCAGAGCAACAAGACAGGACAGCCTATGTCCTTGACGCCAATAAGGCACCACTCCATGCTTGATCTACTACCTGGTGTAGTATGTTTTGAGAAGAGATATATGCCTTCTGTTTTATTTAAAAATGAATAAAAAGAATCAGGAGTTAACTTGAAGAAACTACTAATTGCAAAAGATGGGACAATTTAGACATCAATAAGGATAATAACCACAATGGATTTAAACACATCAAATATATTTAAAACCATGGGTTCATAGATAGAAAAAAAAGAGGACTCATTGGTAACCTCTGGAAGATGCTAGGGAACCAATTCATTATTCTGAATATTATTAAAATTATCCTCCCTTCCCTGTACAAGCTAAACCTCATTGCAATGAAACAGTTGAAAGAAAAGTCATTCTTAATAGAATTTCAGCAAATAAATAAAGAACAATGGTAGAATTAGAAGAGCACTATTTTGTAACCTCTGATGAATAATGGATCTAGGACAACTGCTAAAACTATTAGTGGTAAAGCTGATAGGGAACTTTACAATAGATGGATCTATCTGACAACATCTGAACTCTATGATCAATCTTAACAAAAAATGGACAACCAGACATTTTCTGCCTCCTGATGAGATGCAATAGGATGCATACTAAATACCTATGTAATATTCTTGCCCAAAACTCAAATGTCCAACTGATTAAGATTACATCTAACAACTTATTTACAAGAAAAGAGGAGATATAAGACATAGTAAACAATACCAGGCAGCACAATCAGAAAAATGCCAGAATATAGGTAGGACACTCTACAAGACGAACTACACAATTTCTTCAACAAATAAATGGTAGTAAAAAAGAGAGCAAGAGCAAAAAGAGGGAGAGAAGTTATATATTAAGAGAAATTTAAGAGATTATCAACCAAATATAATGTGTGGACTTTGCCTGGATTCTAATTTGAACCAACTGAAAAAAATATATAGAGAGACAGACAAACATACATACACACACGTATATATGAAACAACTGGGGATATTTGAATGCTAATTGAATATTTCATAATATTAAGGACTAACAATATTTAGATGTGATATTTTATTATATTAAAAGGGTCCTTATATTTTAGAGATATATACTGTTGTATTTACAGATGAAATGGAATGATGACTGGGTTTTGCTTCAAAATAAGCTAGAGGGGGCAGTGCATATATAAATGAAACAACATAGGTATGTGTTGATAACCTTTCAAGCCAAGTATAGATCCATGGGATTTCCTCAGTCCCTAGACTTGCATATGTTTGAAATTTTAGACAATAAAATTTTTAGAACCAGGCGGGTAGAGGGAGGCCTTGTATGCCATGCTTTAGAGTTCAGCCTGATCACATTAACCAAGTCAATTTAAAGGACTTTATACCTGACAAGATTTGAAATAAACTCTATATAGAGTCTGTGGAGAGAAAGTAAGGTGTACTCCTGGGATATTGGTCTGGTATGCAAAATGAATTGTGGAGGAGGGAGACCAGAGTCCAGGAGTGCTGATAAGGGGCTGCTGCTAAGTATTCCTGGCATCCAGATTACAGTGCATGCAATGGGAGAGAGTAATGGCTACATAAGATAAAAGTAGACTCTAAAGTTTGAAGCCTGAGTCAGTAGGACCTTGGTAATATTGTGAGAGACAAGGAAGTTAAAGTGACAGGCTGATTTAAGGAGAGGAAGGGAAAGAAATTTGGAACTCTTGACATGTTAAATCTGGGGTGACAGAATAGGAAAGTATTTCTGAGCCTCTCTGTGGTCAGAAAATCTCCTGAAGCCTTTTGAACAAATGGTAGAGAACACCATGGTGAAGAGTACTGTGCTAGGAGTCAGATGTCTGAATTCTATTAGTGACCCTGACAACAGCCATATCTATAATTTCGAGCAAATCATGCTGAATCTCATAAATGTCATCATAAAATAGGGGAACTAGACACTAGAAAATATCTGTAGTGCCTTTCAAATTTAACATTCTATAGTGAAAATTCTCAGTGATATTATCTACAAGGTATTTTTAAATTCATTCAACAAATATTTTAGCATTTTCTTACAAAACTAGAGACCCAGTGCACAAAAATTCCTGCACTGGGGGGGGGGGGATCCCTCAATCCCTCAATCCGGCCTGCAAGTCCAGGACCCCTCGGGGGATGTCCACCTGCAGCATAGGCCTGCTCCCCAAGGGATCGGGCCTAAGCTGGCAGTCAGACATCCCTCTGGCAGCCCAGGAGCCCTCGGGTGAGGGCTCTTGCCACCACCACTGCACTTGTAGCCATCAGCCTGGCTTGTGGCTGAGCAGAGCTCCCTCCTGCATTGAGCGTTTGCCCCCTGGTGGTCAGTGCGCATCATAGTGACCGGTCATTCCCAGTTGTTCCGTCATTAGGATCAATTTGCATATTACCCTTTTATTTTATAGGATACTATATTAGGCACTGTTTACAAATGGAAACAAGAGATTAACACTTGTGCATGGGAAAAGACAAGAAATACATATTTTGAAATCACCCATACAGAAATGACAGTTTGAGGTCATGAGAATGAATGAGCTCATTGAGAAAGCATATAAAAGAGCAGAAGAATAAGAACTGAGCCTTGAAGAAAGCTCATAGCTGGGGATAGAGGGAATAAAGAGGAACCAGTGAAGAAAAGAGAATAATCAGTTAGAAAAACAGGAGAGAAACAAGTTAGACAAGTGACATCAAGGCCAATAAAACCAGAGTGAATTTTCAGAAACAGAAGCCCAGGCAAACACAAGAGCTAAGAAAGAGCTTTTAGATTTGCTAATAAGGAGGTCTCAGACAATTTTAAAGAAATTTATTTTGGATAATGGTAGGACCAAAAATTGGGAAATACAATTTAAAGAATTTATTTTGGATAATGGTAGGACCAAAATTGGGAAATAAGACTATGGGAGGAAATATATATATATATATATATATATCATCATCATAGTCTCATACTTTCTTTGGGAACATTTATATATATAAAAGCTAAGTGACAGGACCACCAGAACAACCGAAATGACCGGTCACTATGACATGCACTGAGGCCGCCAACCGGCCCAATGGGGGTGGGCCAACCTCCCACAGACCTTCCCCCCAACCAGCCGGCCCTGATCGGCCCCGATTGGGGTGGGCTGGCCAGACCCCACCCATGCACAAATTCGTGCACCGGGCCTCTGGTATATACATAAACCCTAAAACACTTATCAGCCTACAGATACTATGAAAAGTGAATTACCCAATGAAGCTCACCCAAACTGTCAACCTCACTGTTCAGAACCAGGATCTCTTGGGTTCACAGCTGCATTTTGTTATACTGTCCTTTACTCTCACTTGCAAAACAATCATACTGAATTGTGAAGAGGATGAATACCTCATAAGAAACATAAGAATGAAATCAAGAAGGAAAAACAATGCCCTAGCTGGTTTGGCTCAGTGGATAGAGCGTCGGCCTGTGGACATAAGAGTCCCAGGTTCAATTCCAGTCAAGGGCACATGCCAGGGCTGCAGGCTCAGCCCAACGTGCAGGAGGCAGCCAATCAATGATTCCCTCTCATCATTGATGTTTCTATCTCTCTCTTCCTCTCTGAAATAAATAAAAATATTTTTTAAAAATAAGAAAAAACCAATTACTCACAATACTCCTTCACCTCTTTGTTCTCCAATAACTACTTGCACCACCATTTTATATCGGTCAAATCCCATTGCTAGAAAGAAAGAAAAAAACAAGAATGTTATCTATAAACAAATATATAGTAAAATTACTTAATGAAGGCAAATTTGCCTGGAAAAGAACATAAGCATTCAGTCTACAAGCACTTACTGAGTATGACGATAAGTTTGGGAGTCAGAGATACCTGAGGACAAATCCTAACTATAAGCTTAGTATGTAACTTTATACAAGCAAAATCCTGAAAATTCTCACTAATAACAAATCTGGAGAGAAGAAAACGGAATGGATATGTTTATCTTCCCTGGTTTCTGACCAGGGAATAGTGGAAACAGTAACAATAACAAAAATGTGATATGGGCAAAAGTGAAACAGACTAACTCTCTTTAATGAAAGTAAAAGCTTCAGGATTATATAGTAAACTAGAGACCCAGTGCACGAAATTCATTCACTCGATGGGGGGGGGGGGGTCCCCTCAGCCTGGCCTGCACCCTCTCGCAATCCAGGAGCCCTCGGGGGATGTCTGACTGATGGCTTAGGCGGGGAGCGGGCCTAAGCCATCAGTCGGACATTCTTAGCACTGCCGCAGAGGCAGGAGAGGCTCCCGCCATCACTGCTGCTGTGAGCCCGGCTTCTGGCTGAGTGGTGCTCCCACTGAGGGAGCACACTGACCACCAGGGGAAGCTCCTGTGTTGAGCATCTGCCCCCTGGTGGTCAGTATGTATCATAATGACTGGTCGTTCTGCTGTTCAGATTTGCATGTTAGCTTTTTCTTATATAGAATTAAGCAAACAACCTGGACACAACAGGTACTCTTCCATGTGGGACATGAACCCTAATTAAGGATACTTAACAAAATCTTGGAAGAAGATAGGGCCCAAGCTATTTTTTAAAAAACATTGCACATAGGCCCTGGTCAGGTGGCTCAATTGGTTGGAGCATGGTCCCATGTACCAAAAAGTTGCAGGTTCAATTCTAGGTCGGGGAGTGTACAGGAGGCAACCCATCAGTGTTTCTCTCTCACATTGATGTTTCTTTCTCTCCAACCAATTGAGCCACCAGACCGGGCAAATGAGCATGTATTTTTAACAATAATTTTAACAGTGAATTTTCATTAAAATTTAAAGAAAATGCTAATATACTAACAATTAATGTGGGTGATGAAAATACATAGAATATTTTTTATACTTTTCTATATTTTTCCATTTCTAAAAAATTAAGACACCAAAATATTAAATAGTATTTACCTTTAAGAAATTCAAATTTATATACTTTTGAAAAAATTTGTTTATACAGTAGTCCTCACTTATCTGCAGTTTTGCTTCCCGCAGTTTCAATTTCCCTGTCAATCACAGTAGAAAATATCAAATGGAAAATTCCAGAAATACACAATTCATAAGTTTGAAATTGTGGACCCATCTGAATAGCATGATGAAATCGCACACTGACCCATTCTGTCCCACCCAGGCCTTGAATCATTCCTTTGTCCACAAACTGTATTCAATACCCACCCTTTAGTCACTCAGTAGCCGTCTCAGTTATCAGATCCACTGTATAGGTATAGTAGTGCTTGTGTCCAAGTAACTTATTTTACTTAAATAATGGCCCCAAAGCACAAGAGTAGTGATGCTGGCAATTCGGATATGCCAAAGGGAAGCCGTAAAGTGCTTCCTTTAAATGAAAAGGTGAGTGCCGCACAGTAAGATGTTTTGAGAGAAAGACACCACATTCACATAACTTTCATTACAATATATTGTTATAACCATTCTATTTTTTTTTCATGGTTTTCATGTCCTTTTATTATTCTATAAAAGGTAACAAAATATACGGAACAAAGTTTTCCCTTTTTAACTAATATAACCATTCTATTTTATTATGTTATTGTTGTTAATCTTATAGTGCCTAATTTATAAGTTAAACTTTATCACAAGAATGTATGTACAGGAAAAAACATAGTATATATAGGGTTCGGTACTATCATTGGTTTCAAGCATCCACGGGGAGTTTAGAACATATCCCTGAAAATAAGGGCAGACTACTGTATTATCCAGGTTAATTATAATGAAAATGTATTATTATTACAAAGATATTTCTTCTTTCCAAAAAGTGATATTTTTAAAAAAGGATAGCTAGAAAGAGAGGGCTTTTCAGATGGTATAAAAAAATTTTTAATTTTTTAAAAATACATTTTTACTGGTTTCAGAGAAGAAGGGAAAGGGAGAGAGAGAGAAAGAAACATCAATGATGAGAGAGAATCATTGATCAGCTGCCTCCTGCACGCCCCACACTGGGGATCGGGCCCAAAACCTGGGCATGTGCCTTGACTCAGAATCAAACTATGACCTCTTAGTTCATAGGTCAACTCTCAACCACTGACCGACACTTGCCAGGGCCAGATGGTCTGACATTATTAATAACAGAGAAACAGATAAAAAACGGGTAGGTAAAGCACAAGATTTGCTCTGCACATGTAGAGTTTGGCAGCAGTAGAGGGTTGAGTAGGGTAATGAATGGCAGGCTGAGGAATTGATATCTTGGTGGGAAAAACAACCAAGAATTACTAGTATAGGGGAAAGGACGCCCTGTACTTCCTGGGTTTTCTGCATATTTGGATTTCCTGGATAGTGATTCCATACTATGTCTTATTTCACATCTTTACTCTTTCCCATCATCTGCAAAAAAACTACATATAAAAAGTTACCATATAAAAAAAAGTTACCATATAATTGAGGAGACTAGACAT